GATCCCAGGGTCCTGGGATGGAGTCCCACATCGGGCTCCCTGCTCAGCGGGAAGCCTGCTTTTCCCTCTCCCACTCCCCCTGCTTGTGTTCCAGCTCTCGCTGTGTCTCTCTGTCAAATAAATAAATAAGATCTTTAGAAAATTAAAAAATAAAAAAAATAAAATCAAGCACTTTACTTAATCACTTGAGTAAAAGAGATGTTTTCATTTGTATTAAGAAAGTAAAGGTAATGTTAAAATATTTGTTGGAAAACCATTACCAATTGTCTTTTTTATTCTTGTTCATCCTTTTGTAAAATCTTTTTAATTGTCCACCAAATTACACCAGAATTTAGACACACCTCTAGAAAAAGAAATGTTCGTATAACAGAAAGTCAAGAAGTATAAAAAGAAAACTAAATACTTTACAAAGAAAGAAAAGCAAAAGGTGCTGTATGTGTTTTTTTCTCCCCAAAAGGAGAAAATAACACAATTTTTCATTGCAGAATTTTTTCAAGTAATGTTAAGAATATGCTATTGCTTGAATTTAAAGAACAAATTGTAGGAATGGTGTGAACATCTAGACATTGACTAACAACTGATCACATGATCAGAGAATTAAGTAATTTGTATGTTAAATAAGCAAGTTATGCATATAGCATGAAATATCTGAGCTTAAAAAAAAAGCAAAAAACTTCATTGGAAATATTTTAAAACTAAATGCAACATTTTCATGTCTTCCCTTAGGAGATGAAAATATCCTTGTATCTTCAGTCCCAAGCCAAGGGCCTGGAGTAAAGTCCCAGGATTCTGGCAGAATATGTAACTCAGCATGTGAAAATCCTTACTAGTGCAGAGCTGTCTTCAAGAGTCTTAACCATACAGTTCTCTTCTGTAATAAAGATGCCTGTATGGTTTCTGAAATGTATAGGACAGCTTCTGGAAACATTAAATGCCTGCATAAATCTGAACTTTCCTTGTTATTTCTAATGATTCCACTTGTTGTCTGCCTGTCGCTTCTTGTTGAGGTCACTGTACCACCATCTTCCCAGGACCAACTCATCCACCGAGTTGGGCAAATATGCTTCTTTTCAGAGAAAGAGGTGGAATTCTTAAATTCGTTATCATTTCCTCTACATTAGGAAATGTAGGGAGGTTGCACCATTGCTGGCATTAAGTAGTAAAATTTGTGAGTTGGCGGCATCTGTTTCCTGTGCTGCTCAAACATTTTTTTATTTTTCTCTTCCTTTGGAGATTCTAGCTTTTTCTTATGGCCATGAGTAGCAGTAATTGACCTCTAACTACTCAGCTGTTACATTTTAAGAAGGAGCATTGTAGTGTTATGAGAAACACTAAAGTGAAAGTCAAAACACTTACTCTTTGGCCTCAGCTCTCCCACCGGCTGGACCCCTGGCTGTGGCCATCCTCCCTGCTCTGTGGCTGAGAGGATAAGTTAAGGCAATGAGTGTGGGAAAGCACTTTCTGTGTTATAAATTGTTCTACAATTGTTTGTTATTATGATGGCTTAAAACCATACTTTCAGAAGGAAATTAACTTGAGGTCTAAGAAAGGACTGTAACTCTCTAAATGGATGTAATGGCTCTAGTAAATAGCATAAGCAGAACTTCACGAGTGATGCTAAAGTGGCCATAGGATCTAATGAATAGCATTTCTGCATCCAGGCTTCCAGAGGTTTGAGGTGATTAAGTGGGGGGGGGGTGCAGAGGAGGGCTCTAAGGAACTGATAGAAAATACCATTATATTTTGATATAGAATATTTTACTTTTTACTGATTTACTCAGTGTCAACTCACAAGAGTCATGATGAGCTGTTTTCCATCTTCATTCAGGTCCAAATTTAAAAGAAATAGTACTAAACTAAAGCATGAAATAATGTTCTTAGATATCAAAACCACATCCTCAGTGAAAAACTGAAAGATTTCGAAGGTTACCAATTGTTTAAGGTCTGCCTCTATAATTTCACAAAATAGGACATTTTAAGAGTATGTCTTTTTATGAAAGGGAGAAAGGAATGTCTTTGATGATTTTTTAAGACCCCGTGTAACTTTTGTGTTAAAAAAAACCTTGCATAATTAAAATAAGAAAATATAGAACACAGAAAAGTACTATTCCACACATGCCTCCCCTTAATAAACTGCAACATAATACAAATTGCATTTGTTAATCATTGGCATTTCTTTTGAGGATTCATTTGAATCATCAAGATTGGAAGTTTTGATTGCTCGTGATGAATCTCTTATAGCCTTTCTTGATTATTTTCTGAATCTGATGACAAACTGCAACGTGTCTCAGCCAATTAGGCTTGTCAACTTCCACTGTGGTCCCCAATCAAGTGTTTGACTTTGGAAATGATGGGAGATCCTTATTAAAAGTCATGCTTCTTGGATAGAGATGTGGCAGCTTCTTGGATAGAGATGTGCCTGATGGCAGAGAAGACAAGTTGCCTTTTGTTAAAAGCAGTAAGAGGAAATCAGTTTCAGCAGGAAATAATCCAGACCATGAAGTAAAGGTTGAGGGAAGAAATTGAAGGGCCTCTCACTTCTAGTTGATGAGAAATTGCATCAATCTAAATAAATATAATTTCTTATGAGCTACAGAGAGTTCAGGTACCCAAGGAAAACAACAAGTAAGAGTAGTTTGCATCATCACAACAGTTCTCTGAGCTCTCTCTAAATGCATCTCAAACAAAAGAAAAACAAAGTGCTACACATTTGAAACTGGAAACACAAATTAATCACTGAAAAGCAGAGAATCTGTAAGTCACTGTGTAAGTAAACTGACACATTGTGTGAGACTTAAGTAAACTTAGCTGATTGGAGAACATTCTGGGTCATTTCTGCAGGGAATGACAACCACATTCAAAGAGATCTTCCCTGTTTTGGTAGCTTTAGTCCTGATTATTTTCTTGTGTCTTTGATAGGCACTATCACATGAGAAAAAGAAAAGTTTGAACTTGTTAAAGCAATGAAGAAAAAAAAGAATGTTTAGAGTAAAATAGGTCTGATCTTGCACTTTGCATTTTCATAAGGGTTTTTCCTTTTCAAGGCATTTAGGTCAGCTTCAGATAAACAAAGTATCCCAAGATAGAAAATATTCTCAAAAGAACTCACATTTTGCTCATTTAAACTAATTAGATTACAAAGACTGTTCATAAAATCTGCCAATAGTTTGATTTTTTAAATTCTTCTAAAATGTGTATTTGAGAGACACGGAGGGAATTCGGCATAAAAAAATGAATAAGAAAGTGCTCTTTCTCTTGATGATAAAATTAATAGGGTCTTCCCATGTAGAAATCAGACGGCAACATAGCATGTGGAATGACAGTAAATAATTATCTTTGCATTTTGCCTTTTGGGAAAGAGAAAAGTCATTCCAGATTCCTGTGAAGAGCACCGGAACTTCCTCATTGAGCTCTCAGCACACAGCATAAAAATCTCAGGCCATAGTGGTTCAAAAATCAATGGGCTGACAAATGTCAATATTTTAGTTATCCATCACGACAGGAAAAAATGGTGTGCGTTGGACTGCCTTCATTTGAGAGATTTGGCAGAGCGAAACTTCTGTACAAATGATAGCCAAAACAGGAATGTAATGTTAAAGTACAGAGGATGGTGTGTACAGATAGAGGCAGAGGGTCTAAATATTTGGGGGATCATTTAAATAACCCCCTCTTCAATTTTAAACCGAATCTACCCAAGATCATGTATAGGCAAATCTCACTGATTACATTGTTGTGACTATATTTGCAGAGCTTAAAACTTGTCCGTCTTTTAAGTCCAAAGCCTTGTTAAAAAAAAAAAAAAAAAGTGATGCCATATGATATAAATTGGAGCACAAGTCATATTATGTTCTTTTGTTTGGCAATAAAATGAGTTACAAAATATATTAAATAAAACTCTAGAGGTTATTCTTTTAGAATCTGTTGAGGAAGACAGGGTTTTGTTTGGTTTTTGTTTTTTCTCTTTCTCTTTTTCAAATAAAAACAAAGTCTGTTAAAAAATCTTCAATAACAAGAAAATACGTACTTGTTCTCCAAAGACAGACACATATTAACAAATTTACTTACATATACAGGTAATTTTTAATTTCCATCTCTAATCCTGATCCCTAAGAGCTGTCTAGATATGACTTAGCTTTATAGTAATAGAAGACTTCTCCCATTCCACTAGGCAGCAACATTAATTAGGACTACATGCTATTTCATCAAAACTTTAGGAGCTTGACTGCATTTACCCAATGCACTGCATTTCACATAACATTTCTATTCAGCAAACACATTGGCAAATGTATTTCTATGTGAACATTTAAGGGATTATCCTATAGCACATATTAGGTCATTTGGCATGGTGGGTGGGAAGTGGGCGTGGGCTAGGGTGGGGTAGGTGATGATATTGCTAGTATGTTCATACCCCTAACCTACTTGTACTTTGCTTTTTTTACTTTTTACCACATGATGTTCTGTCAATTTAGGTTCTACTTCTGAGTCACCCTGATGTTTTAGAATGTATTTTAAATATAAGGTTTTGCATATTTGCATTCCATGAATAATGTATAAGCAGGAAGGAATCCAATTGGCAAAAGTACACGATTTCTGGGATAATTTATAAATACAGAAAATTATCTATTTGGATTTAATAACCTTTCTTATGCATGTGGAAAGATTTATACCCAGGCAACTATACATATGCGCTTTATTTCTACTTGAGAATATACACATGTCCCTGTCCTGTAACAAATGCATATGTACCTGTCTTCTACATGCTTAAATTTATTAGTTTGTTCATTCTTCTCTTTCCATAATATTCGATGTTTTTGCAAAACCTTATCTTTAATGGATATGAAATAAAAACTGTTCTATGGAAATGATGAACTATGGGGTGTAGAAAAAAGGAAAATAATATGATAAATAATATATATATCTCCCCCTTCCAATTTCATGCAAATAAGGAAAGCCTGTTGCAGAATGTCCAACTTTAACATCACCTTCTCCTTGAATTTCAGATTCAAGACCTCTTCCAGATGTAGCCCTGACTGGGAAGTGTACCCGTGAGTGTGATGAATATGGCCACTCAGACTCCTGCTGGATGCCGGTCCGCACTTCTCCAGAGAGGAAGAAGAACCAGCCCAAACTCTCCACTTTCATGCCTGTTGATGAACGAGGAAGCCAGGAAAAGCTGGCCAATGGTGAGGCCGCGATCATGGGTGACCGCAACAGAAACCTCCTAAACAAAAAGTTGACCTCCTCCTATGAGACCTTCAGTGCAGCTAGTTTCAGCAAAAATGAGGAAGCCAACCCTGAGGATATTCCCCTTACAAAAACAGGGGAATACAAGCCATCTCCTGTCAATACTCTCACTAGAAGAGAAGTTTACCTGTAGGCTATAAAGAAGAACAGCAAAGTTCTTTTCATGTATGAGAAGGAGAATAAGGGGCAAAAAAACTTACAAAAACCGTGTAATCAAAAAGAGGGGGCTACCAAAGAGACAAAACTTTGCCTGCCACTTCTGCCTCCAGATCAGGCCTTTAGTGATACTGTTAGCCTGATTGTAATGTACAATGTAGAAACCATCCTTGTTACTTGCATGTCTGACCCCCTCACTGATTATTCCCAACACCCGCTATTCCTCTTCCCCATCCCCCTCCAAGGAGGAAAAAAAAAAAAGATGGTTGCAAGTTTCTTTCATGGTAACAAGCCTGATTAGCAGAACACAATACACTCTCATTATCCCTAAGCTGAAGCATGATTTAGTCACTTTGATTTAGTTCGAATGCCATCCGGTTGGTCAAAAAAACACCACAAAAAGCAAAAAACCGAAAAACAAACAAACAAAGAACAGATCAGGTAAAATGTATTTCAGACATACCATCAGAATATGATTAATCACCATGAAAGGCAATCCCCCCCAAATGATAGCGTTCCTGTAAAAGTACAGTTCTTATTAAGGGGGACTCTATAAGAAGAATATTGAGAATCTCACAAGCTTTAAAATTCTAACAAAGACTGACAGCTAGACAATACCCAGTTAGAGATTGCAGTCCCAAATTGGCTTATACATAGTTCTTTTCAAGTCAGGGGTATCCACTTCAATCCCATACATTCATCAAATATTCTTAGTATACACACAATCTTGACCACATATATCAATTACACTAATTATAACTTGTAAAAATTATATATATATATTTTTCAGAACAGCACCGCTGTTATCAACTAACTGGAACAATTGTGTCATTAAAAGGCCAAAGATCACACGGCAGATCAGGGATATCATGAAGCAGATTTGGTCTTGACGTGGAAATCCATTAAGCAACGAAAGCAACCGAACCCATGCACACACAGAAATACTCAAACACTAGCTTCTTTTACATTGTCTCTATACCTGAAAACATGCATTCTCTTTTAAAATGGGTTTTCTTTGAAAGCTCAGAAAACGAAAAACTAAATGATGTATTTTTGGTATTACAGTAGACAATTAGTTAAGGTTCAAGTTTAGTTTCAAAAACTATTATCAGGGAAGATTCCACTTGTAAAAACCATATTTGTGGGTAGTTAGGGAAAGAAAGATATGTTGGTATACAGTCTTTTAAGTTAAAATCACTATTATCATTTTAGTATCCAGGTGATGTTTACTGGTCTTATTATTTACGTTTCAAATTATCAATTGTATTTTTTATGTGTTTAAGGAACTCTTTCATATAACACAAGTGCATTAATTTTGAATCCTGTGCAATATAGCACTATTTCGAGACTCACAACATTGAAACAAGGTGACACCCTAATTGATTTGTCACTAATGTGATTCTGAACGTGATTGGATATGTCTTAAAACAAATCCAGACGGAACATGAAAGAAATGAGTTCTGGTCAGTGATATGTCTCCTTGTATGTACATCTCAGAGTGGAAAAATATGCAATTTTTTCAGTGGAAAAAAAAAACCCACAGAATATGCAGACTTTGGGTCGTTTGTTCTATAGAGGATGATTTAACATAATTGGAAATTATGAGCTGGGACATTCAGACAGAAGTGACAATCCAGCGACAGAATAGGGGATATAACAGGTGAAAAGTGCAAATGTTCCCAACACTGAATGTTTGCAACCTGGTTAGGACATAGCCTGATGGCTCTCTAGCAAACTGTAGAAATAATGTAGCTTTGGATAGTTTTATTCTTTACAGAGTTTCTTAGACTATAAGGTGAAGCAGCCTGGACTAGAGGTTGTGAACTCACTATAGGTCATCAAAATGTTTATCTTGAAAACCACTTCTCTGGTGGGCTACTCTTTTGGGGTCATTTCCTTCTGCTCTTTCTTATAAATCGAGTTTTCATTTTGATGTTAGTTTATGTATAATAGTTAGGATGAAAGAAGATATGTAATTGAAACAAAAACATTGGACTAAAATACCAATAATTGAACATCTTTATGTTTGATTATTATTTACATGATGGAAAGATGCAATTCTAGTACTTTGTTAGGAAACTGCATTAAAGCAGTTCTGCCTTGTATAATCTGTAAGTACCTATTAAGACAAAATACTTCTAAAGATACTTATGAAATGTATACATATTTTTTCTTGCACGTTACAAAGCAAATACTCAATTGCATAACACAGGTGTTCAACAAACATTTTTAATGCATTTATTTTCTTTCTTTCATGAGACACTTGAAACCATTAGATAGCTCATTTCACTCTATCTTAAAACCCTTCTGTTGTCTATAAAGCTAATACGGGTCATACTGGACCTTTGGATTAATTGGATCCACATTCCCCAATGACGTTTGCACCACATTCAAGACAGCCATGTCATTGTCATTTAACTCATGAGCCTTTCTTTAGAACTAAAATGGGTGTGAAAGAATAAAATTCAGTGTACTGTAAGTATTCTCAGTAATTCTAGTAGAATTAGCTCTCATAACATGTTTATTATATAATGAGCTGGCATGACACAGAAATATATTTTGTGTTTGTATGACTTTTATTTTGAATAGGCTAAATCCAGTGCCACTCCATATATAGAGTGCTTTTGAAAAAAATCAATAAAAAGAAACAAAAAAAAAATAAATGAGTGAATGCAAAACAAGCAACTGTGCCTTTTATACCTGTTGTTATGGTAAAAAAACGGTTGTTGGGTTTGGACAATGAGGGAAACTGGGCTATTCCCAACTTTTTTGATCCTGTATATTTACCCATGTTTATTTTCTGAAAATAATAAATAATATATTAAAAATTTGCCTTCTGACAAACTCAGATAATGGACCAGTCTTAAATATCGTTCATTCATAAAACAAAACTAAGGCATTAACATGGACTGCTTAATTCTGACTAGAAGGCTAAAGCATTTATTGTAATAGTAACACAGAGAGAGATTATCAGGGGTGAAATCAGTCCATTTTACAAGGTCAAATATTGATTTCAAATTTCTATTCTTTATTTCCTTTTTGTTATTTTTCTTTTAGCTGCTGTTTCATTTTGGTTGTACAATATATAAACCATACTTGTTTTCTGTACACAAGACTCTCAAGCGAACTTTGCATGCATTATACATTAGGACACATTTATAAATTAATGAGTAACTATATAAATTTATGTGTATTAAAATTTACGTGTACGTCTATAGCTTCAGTCTAAAATCTAATGCTCATTCTGAACCTCCAGATATCATTTCTGTATGGTTTCTGACTGGCCTGTTGCCTGAGTTTCAGAAAACAAGGGAGGCATTATTTTTATGGGAAGAGAAACTAAGATGGTACTGAAGATGTCTGGCTGAAAGGCTACCCTAGGAAGCTCTCTTATAGGAAAATAAAGTAACACACAGACCAGAAGAAACCTCCAAGAATCAAGCCATCCTAAACCCAGGCCTGAGAAATCCGAAGACCCAAGTAATTTTAGGGACATTGTATCCATGATAAATATACAATGTGTCCTTAGGGGGAAAACAAAAACAAAAACAGTGAAGATGATCAAGAATATTTTAAGCTGGTCAGTTGTGACCCAGGTAGAGGTAGACCTAACATCTGGAGGAATACCTCATTCTTTCAGCTACCTAGGGTTTACTTTCAGACAACTTTTCCTACATTTTAAAGCACTTGCATTCAGTGTGGTACGATCTGTTTGTAATGTTAATCATTGACTATTGTTCTGCTACTTGGATGTTGATAGTGAAGCCGAGAACAATTTATCATCGTTTATTATGAGTCACTATGCACGCAACTATGCTAAACATGGCGAAATGTATTAAACACTCGTCCAACTATTTATGAAATACTTTACATAATTTAATTTGCTTTTGTACAGTTTTATGTAAATAAATTGCTTGTCATTTTTGTCTCTGCAAATTAAAATATAACATGGTCAAATGGTTTCACACTTGTAAGCGTACTTCTCTGTTGACAGGTAATTCCGTTTTGATTGGACGAGAAGTGAATGGATGCATGTACCGGTTTGATTTAAAATGGTTTGTTTTCTGCTAAGTTAAGATGGAGTAAAGAAGATAATGCTATAGTAATTGTTGATTTAGAGGATACCGTGCATAACTGGCATTTTACTTTGCTTTATAACGGAGTAGAACTTGGATCTTTCAGTTTCATCCAAATAATTCCTAAGACAGTTACCTAGCTGGCTTTTACATGTTAAGTGGGCAATAGAGGAACTTATCATTAATATAAGGATTGATTTTTTCCGGTGTTATCTAGAGAAATTTCATGTTTAAGGTATAACTAATTCTAAGTCAGAATGTGTCTCTGTTAAGGAAATGTTTGGTTTTAATCTAAAGTAGTGACTACAAAAACATTAGAAATGAAAAAAAGCCTTATATATATCATGTGAGATGTAGAGAAAAAAATTTGAAGCAAAAAATAGAATTTTTACTGTGCTTATTTTTTCTTTAGTTAAGCTTTCTCCGCTTTTAATATTTTTCCATCAACCAGCATACACACACACACACACACACACACACACACACACACACACACACACATATATATATATGGCTATTCTGTTTACTCTTTGTTATCAGATTTTACTCCTAATTATAATGGCTGTCTTCTTTATTGATTTAATGGTATCCATTCAAACAGGTAAATTCTCTTCTTTAATCCAACTCAGAGACTTAAAAGAGAAAGAAAATACTTTCTACATATACAAATAGATTCTATGGAATTTTTGGCCCATCTCACAACAGTACTGCTAACCCCTACCTATGTAGGAAATTAGGCATTCTCAAGTTCCTTGCATGGAAGTTTCTCTACCATTTTTTAGCCTCTCTTGGATGAAAATCCAATGTACTTTATATAGAATGACATGTTCTTCCTTAAATCAAAGATAACTTTGTAAATTGATAGTGGCTGGCAGCCTTCCTTCTCTGAAAAAGGAATTAAGAGTGAAGTATGGTGAGAAAGTCTGCCGCAAGTTGTAATGAGGTGAACAAATGATATGTGCATTCATTTGGCTTTCTGCATTTCTAATGGTGAGAACTGAACATCAGTACATAAGTCAGTGGAACAGTACATAAAATGAAATCACTGTGTATTCTTGTTTTAAATTTTCTATTTAGATTTGACAAATATATATTTCTCTTTACCCTAAAATTGCATTCTTAGGTTAAAAATATACTCTTTTAAAAACCTCAAACATGTAAAAACACAGTGATACATTTAGAAAGAAGGTATACATGAAGAAGGCCAACAAAAGTTGTGTGCATTCCTTCCAAGGCTTAGGTCTCCATTATTCTACCATTTCTGATTTGTTGGAAGTTTCATCTAGTTACTTAGAAGCTTGACTTAGCACAACAGTATCTTACATTTATAGCACACATTATGGTTTACAAATGTTTCATAAGATTCATCACAAAATTCCCATACCTGCAATAGGTGAAAAACTATTAGATGGGCCATGTATGAAGGGTTTTACTCTTACTGAATTGTTCACAGATTGAATAAAAACATAAAGTTCTGCCAATATTAACATTTCCCCCCCACCGGCTAGCTTATGTACCAATCAAAATATTTTGCATGATTTAGCAGAGTGACAAGGAAAAGAATTCTCCTTATTTACCCAAATAAAATAGGCATTCGTAAAGTGGGAATTAGGGGGATGCGGGCACTAATTATGCAGATTAGCAGGTAATTATCTTCTTTTGACATTGTACAACATACCCTGGCAGTAACTGTAATTTGTATGGGATTTCTGACAGCAAATTGTAAATCTTGAAAACAGCATAGCCTAATTTCTTCCTGCTGAATACCCCTGGCCTAACTATCAGGCCATGAGGTTTTGATGGACATTGGCTGGATAAATAATCTAGGTGTTAGGATTTGAATGATCACAACGGACAGTCAGCACTATCAAAATTGATCAGATAATCATAGAATTCCCAAATTTACTTTGGTTTCAACAGGCTGATTTCACAAAAAAATTCATTTATTGAGTTTTTGTTTTGTCCCTTTTCCATTTTTATATTTAATCTTTTTTTCTGTGTCCCCACCTCAAAGCTCTTTGACATACTTTAAGTTATTTGCTCTGTGTTTTTCCCGGTTCTGAAAGTAAACCTAATTTCCCCTGGAGGTGGTTGGAGGTTAGGTAGCTAACCAAGGACTAAAAGATTTGCAACCCAATCAGCTTATTTTAATGGAAATGTACAATATCACTACTTGAGCTCTTAGAAAGCCAAGTGAACAGGGACTGAACTTACATTTGTTTATTTTCTCTTATCTTTATCCCTATTCTAATACTTGTTTATAAACTGCACTGAGGAAGGTGATTAACAAAGATAATATAAATTTTCCAAGCTGCAGGGAGTGAGGAAAAGATATGAATGTAAAATGTGGAATACTAAACATTTATGTTCTCCTTTAACACTAACTTTATTTTTTCCTGTGGTGCTGCGGTTAAATGGAAATTTTATTCATTGGTTGAATTTAATATGTGTGACCCACACAGATATAATTTTGTCTATTTATTGGAACTCCTGTGGGAAGATGTAGAAGATGCTTAATCATTCATAAATGTAAAATTTGCCCCTAACACTCTCAGGTGATGGCAAACAAAAATTATAGTTTACTCGTGATGTTCAGTTTTATTTTTTTCCATTAAAAGTTATGATTGAAATGATCCATCACCATAAAGGTCATAAGAAAGATGCACAAGGTCGACAAATAAATGTCAGATATGGTCTTAGAGATTAATATGGGTTTTGAAAAATAAAAATGTTAATCAATGTGCCTAATTTAAAAAAAGAGAGTGTTCACTAAAGAAACACCTGAATAAGCAATCTAAAGAAAGAGATAAAAACAAGATGTTTTAGTTTGGTAATTTAATTGAAAGTACATTACAATATCCCAGCCTTAGTAAAATTAGTAGTAAGTTGATTGGATAATGTCAGGTTTTTTTTTTTTTTCTAAGTGTGTTTTATAGAATGTTACACAGAACATTTTCATTGTAGTTTTATGGATTGTTATAAAAATTTGACTGTGTATTTAAACCATCTTATAATACCTTTATGGAAAGGAAGGGAGGGCAAAAAA